CAAACAATTGGGCAATATTTTGTGTTTTTTTGTGCATTATAAGTAAAAAAAAATTTTTTTTTTAAATTAGCGTTTGAAAAATCGCCACGTAAATACTGTGTGGCATAAAAAATTACAACACCCACCATTGTATTCTCTATGGCCATTGCCTTAAAAAATACATAACATTTGGGGGTTCAAAGTAATTTTCTAGCAAAAAATTTTTTTTCATGTAAAAAAAAAGTGTCAGAAAAAGCTTGTTTTTCAAGTGGTTAGAAAAATGGGTGATGTGTGGCAGAAACTTCTAATGTTGGCTCTGAAAAGCCAGGATGGTTGAAGCACTAATCCCCCCCAATGACATCTCGTTTGTTGCCACAAGTTTTTGGAAAATGAAGAAGGAAAACAAAAATGTATTTTGTTCCTTTTTTTTTCCTTTTCAAAACCCTGTGATCAAAATTATATCTGCAAAATACTCATCATGCCTCTTATCAAATTTCCTTGGGGTGTCTACTTTCCAAAAAGGGGTCATTTTTACTACTATCCTGGCGTTTTAGAGCCTCCAAAACTGTGATAGGTAGTGAGGAATTGATATGAGGAAATATGCTTTTTAAAATCCTTAAAGTGGTCATTGGATTTTTGGGGCCTGTATGTAGCTAGGCTGCCAAACACAACTCTCACATGTGGTATCCTCATACCCCATACTCAGCAGAAGTAGGAGAATGTGTTTTGGGGTGTTATTCCACATATAGCCATGTCATATGTGAGCAAATATATCATTTAAGTCGCAAATTTGTGTAAGAAAAAAATAAAATTTTTCAAAAATGTGTGGCACAAAAAAAAAAAAAAATCTTCCATGGACTCAACATACCTCTCTCTGCAAATTCCTTGGGGGTGTCTACTTTCCAAAAAGTAAAAGCTGCGTAAATTCCAGTAAATATACCATAGTTTGTAGCTGCTATAACTTTCACACTTTCACAAAAACCAATTAATATACACATATAGGGATTTTTTTTTTACCAAAGACATGTAGCAGAATACATTTTGGTCTAAATTTATGACTAACTTTGAGTTTATTGGATATATTTTGTAACCGAAAGTAAAAGTAAAAAAAAAAAAACAAAAAAACCCAGTGGTGATAAAAATATCACCAAAAGAAAGCTATATTTGTGTGAAAAAAGGACATAAATTTTGTTTGGGCACAGCGTTGCATGACTGCTCAATTACCAGCGGAAATAGCGCAGTGCCGAATAGCAAAAAATGGTCTGGCCAGGAAGGGGGGGGGGGTAAGTCTTCCAGAAGGCAAGTGGTTAAAGCCATTTTTTAAAAAAAATAACTTCCAACATTCTGCTAAATCTTTGTTTCAGTACTGCTTAGACCTGAAGAAGGGGACATTCCCCGAAAGCTTGTCCTCAAAATTGTATGTTAGTGCAAATAAAAAAAGTATCACGGACAGTACTCAATTGTTCCTGTTAAAAAAAATAACATATGTCATGTATATACCTGCTCTGTGCAATAGTTTTTCACAGAGCACTCCCGAGCCTCCTCATCTCAGGTCTCCCACTGGTGCTCCTGGCCCCTCCCTCCTGAAAAATGCCACCAGAGCAAGCAGCTTGCTATGGAGCACCCAAGCAGGCTTGCTTCCGAGCCTTTGCACTGCATGTCTATTCACATACAGAGTCACGGCACAGCCCCACTCCCCTTTCTCTCTTCATTGGCTCACTGACTGTGATTGATAGCAGCGGGAGCCAATGGCTTCCACTGTTGTCTCAGCCAATCATGAGAGAGAGTCCTCAAAAGCCAGAGGCACATTGCTGGATCGCGATGCGGCACAAGTAAGTCATTGGGGAAGATGGCTAGAAGGGCTGCTGCACACAGAAGTTTTTTTACTTACATGCATAGAATGCATGAAAGTTAAAATCATTGAGCCTTTATAACCACTTTAAGAGAATGGGATGCACACCAATGATGTTTAGAAAGTCCAGTGGTTAAATGAGCATACAGCGCACACTGCAAAACCAACACTCTGAGGCCATGCCTCTAATGTGTTATACCAATTCCAGGGCACCCTGCTACTGCATTTACCACAAGTGCCCTGCAGCATTGTGCACATTGGTGTGGCATTTATGGAATTAAAACAGACAGTGAATATTCATATTGCCTCCTGATTGCCTGTCAAATGCCTCTTAAAAGTTATTTGAATGAGGTTCACTTTTCAGAGACTTGATAGTTTACACGCACAACTAAATGTACCCTTCATGTACATTTTATAGATTGAAAAGAAAACAGAGACACTCTACAGAAAGTGTTCTCAACCTTCCTAATGCCGTACCCTTTAATACACTTGCTCATGTTGTGGTGACCCCCAACCATAAAATTATTTACCCAGAAATTATAATTCATGAGTGTGTTTTACCTCCAATACTGCTGAAACTCAGTAGCTCTTTTAAAGAGTGCTGCTTTCAACACAGCAGCACTTTCTACACAGTAGCTGCTCTTTACACATCGGAAATATGTGTTTTCTGATGGTCTTAGGGACATCCTGTGAAAGGGAGTTCGACACCAAAGGGGTGTCTACCCACAGGTTGAGAACCAGTGTACAGGAAAGTGCAAAGTTCCATAAGATTTTCACTTGCCAATGAAAATAGGTTAAATTAAACAAAATCCTGTTTGTGTGTTAAATTGGGGAACTAAATCTTTTAAATGTGAAAAGAAACACAAGCCACAATCACACCCTCATAAATGTATCTTTCATCATTAGCCACATCCTGCCAGGAGTTGACACCGTGTTTATCCTGCTTTTAGTGTATGAGACAGACAAATAAGATCTTCTGTGGGGTATTTGGTAAATACAAGATACCGGGGGCCTGGGGCCTGGATAACCTTTTTGGTGAAAGATTAATAATAAATATACATTTTCTAGTCAGAATTGTGCTTTACTTTTTTAGAGATGTTATTTTTTCCCGACATCTCAAGAAGTATTGTCTTTGCTGAAACAAGTGAAACAGAGGAAAATGAGTCATGTAAGGGGAATTACAGCTATAGTTTAATCTTTTGAACATCTTTCAAAGATAGGAAACATCATTTAGGCCAACTCTACTTTTTTTCTGAAAGGTGATGATATCAAAAAGTGAAAAGTAAGGTCTGGAAAGCAAGATATGTAAATTAGAAACTCTTTTGTATACTAAAATGTAACTGTTGGGTGAAACTCGGTCTGTTACAGTTCACATAGTACTGGGTCTAATCTTCTCCAGCAGTAAAGGTTCCCTGTTTCTATTCACACCTAGTTATGATTCAGGGCCGTCTCCACAAAATTTGGCAACTCTTAATATACACTAGGTACAGAATATCCTTTAAAAAAATGTGGAACCCGCACACAATATTATGGGCAACATGGTGCTAACTTGTTATCACTTTTGTTTTTGAGTTGTGCATAGACATGTGTACGCTGGAAACTTTCATTTTGTTTTGGATGCATTTGTTCATTGGAGAATTTCATTTGGTCATATTTGTTATGTTAAACCGATTCATTTTCAGAATTTATTTTGTATCTTCAGCATTCATTTCATATATTCGTTGGTCCTGGTGGATTAAAAAATTTTGCAGTTTTTCCAAAAGATTGCTATATATTCAATATATTATCAAATCGGACAGATTCAAATCAGAAGGATTCAATATTTGGACGCTAGTCCAACCCACCAAGATAAATGGCATGAGCTGATTGGATAATATTGACTGGCTTCATGTGCATCCGAATTAATGAACTGAATGATTTAGATCCATTCATTATCCAAACTGAATTATCAAATTAATTTGAAAATTGAATTCATTTCCCCTTGAGCCCGAACTACCATCGCATCCGAATCTTCCAAAATGACATTTTCAGTTGAAAAACGAACCAAAATGAAATGTTCTAGTATCTAGTTCTGCACCCAAATCCCTCCAGTGGCATTATCTGCATAGATTTAGTTTATATGTGTTCTTTGCATTTTAATTGCTTTCTCTGAGTGTTCTGTTTTCCTCCCACAATCAAAAAACCTAGTTATAGTTGAGCTTGTTTCTGAAGTAGTGCATATGAATTGGTTCACAAGCATTAAAACCAACCTATGGTGGGTAGGATCACATAATTCCAGCTGGTGCAAACCAGCCAATCTGTGCTTTGTTTAGACTGGTTAGCTCACTTAATTGGTAAACTAGTTCAGAGCAATACTTTCCAGTTCACTTCTGGCACTGGCAAAGGGCACATCAGCCCCCATCCCAAAAGAAAGTATGTGCTTCTAAATTACTTGCACCTAGCATAGTATAATACTTTTTATTAAGCCAAAAATGCCACAAAGGACAGGCATCCTTGCCCAATACCCTTTGGTGTTAAAAGTGGAATTTCTGTTGATACTAGACATGTGCGTTTCGTTTCATAACAAATCAATTTTCGGACAAAACAATAGATTTTCTAAGATTCAGTTATATACGAATCTCCAAATGGACATAGTAAGGAATGTAAACGAAAACAAAAAAAAGTCATACCGAAATAAACAAATGCATTCCTTTCATGCAGATGACACCACATGTAGTAGTTTAGGCTCATGGGGAAATTAATTCAGTTTTCTAATTTGTTCTATAGTTCGGATTTCAGTAAAGTTGTGAATTAAATTTAATTTGTAATTGTCACAGTCAGTCAGTTCAGTTTTATAATCTAATGCAATTCTTCGGTTTGAAAAATTCAAGGTCATAGAATTTTGCATTATTTATTTTGTGTGTGTCCGAAAATATTGAATATTTTCAATATATGAATAACAAATCCACCCGCAATATTGAAACTGAAAACTAACATATAGCATTCTTTTGAAATAACTGCAACATTTTTAACCACCTCCTCCCACCACATAGTAATATGATGGACGCAAGGTGGTTCTCTCATTCTGGGAGGATGTCATATGACGTCCTCCCATTCTAACCGCGCATGCGTGGCACCCGGACAGCGCAGCATGGCTATCGGCGGTGCGCTGTTGCCATTGGACACAACGGATCACCGATCCACAGAAAGAGCCGAAGATGTCGGCTCGGTCATGTGATCAGCTGTGTCCAATCACAGCTGATCACATGTAAACAGGGAAATGCCAGTTATCTGCATTTCTCTCCCCACGAGCTGTCACTCTCCAATCACAGCTGATCACATGTAAACAGGGAAATGCCGGTAATCGGCATTCCTCGGAGGGGACATATACACAGATCTTTAGAGCACTGATGATCAGTGTAGCCCCAGCAGTGCCACCTGTCAGTGTCCATCAGTGCCAGCTCTCAGTGCTCATCCATGCCACCTGCAGGTGCCCATCAATGCCACATTTCAGTGACCATCAGTGCCACATCAATGCCACATATCAGTGCCCATCTGAGCTGCCTTTCAGTGTCACCCATCAGTGCCAATCAGTGCCACCTATCAATACCAGTCAGTGCCACCTATCAGTGCTGCCAATCAGTGCCACCTATCAGTGCCAGTCAGTGCCACCTATTAGTGTGCATCAGTGCTCCTTATCAGTGCTGCCTAACAGTGCCAGTCAGTGCCACCTAACAGTGCCAGTCAGTGCCGCCTATCAGTGCCAGTCAGTGCCACCTATCAGTGCCGCCTATCAGTGCCATATATGAGTCCTGCTTTTCAGTGCCCATCAGTGGTGCCTGTCAATGCCCATCACTGCAGCCTCATTAGCGCACATCAGTGAAGGAGAAAAATCACTTATTTACAAAATTTATATACCAAAAACTAAGAAAAAAAAAATGTTTTTTTTTTCCAAAATTTTCGGTGGTTTTTGGTTTGTTTAAGAAAAAATAAAAAACCCAGAGGCGATTAAATACCACCAAAATAAAGCTCTATCTGTCACAAAAAAATGCTAAAAATCTCATATGGGTACAGTGTTGCATGACCGCGCAATTGTAATTCAAAGTGCAACTGCTCTGAAAGCTGGAAATTGGCCTGGGCAGGAAGGGGGTATAAGTGCCCTGTAGGCTAGTGGTTAATCCAGCCAACGAATATATGAAATGATATTAAATGAATGCTGAAGATACAAAACTAAATTCTTCAATGAACCAATGCATGCATCTGAAATTAAATTAAAATTTCCAGCGTGCACATGTCTAGTTGAAACATAGCACACTAAATATTTGCTCAACAGAGCGAGCAATGGATGACACCCCTTTAATTAACAATAATTTTTCATTATTTGCTCATCATGCTCATCTAATTGTAAGATCCATCGGGAAATAGAGTTTAAAATTATTTTAAATAGAGTTTAAAGTGATTTTGTCATATACAAAAAAGTTAGAAGTATGTAAACAATGTAGTTTGTGCAATTTGGAGAGCCTGAGAATCAATAACATTGTGTGTATGCAACAGTTGAGAGGCTGGTGTTGTGCTGATATGGGTAGCAAACTTTTTCATTACAATTCATGACATGACCCTCAAGAGAAGATCTGCCCTAAAGCCTCATTCCTAGAGTTTGGTTAAATACTCTCATGGACTGATGCCATTCTGATCCTAATGTACACAACCTTGTAGATCTTCAGTTGGAAGCAATATTGGTTGGGTATATGATAGATCATCTGGACTGGAGGAGGCATTTTGCTTACCTTCTAAATCCTTGGTATTAGTTATGCATCTGGTAAGTGCCCCTGTGCACCGTGGAGTAACTGCAACTGGCAGTCATGTTCTTTTGTACTGTATCCGAGCAAAAGCCATGAGGTCAAAAGAACTGCCTGCAGAGCTCAGATACAAGGTTATTAAAAGGCACAGATCTGGGGAAGGCTACAAGAAATTTCTCCCACCCTGAAGGTTCCGAAGAGCATAGAGGCCTCCATAATTCTCAAATGGAAGAAGTTTGGGACAACAAGGACTCTTCTAAGAGCTGGACGCCTGGCCAAACTGAGCAATCGGGGAATGGCCTTCATAAGAAAGGTGGCCAAAAACTCAATGGGAACTCTGGCTTAGCTCTAGAGATCCTGTTTAAAGATGGGACAATGTTTCAGAAAGAAAACCATCACTGCAGCTGTCCGCCAATCTGGGCTTTATGGCAGCCTATCCTCAGTGCAAAACACATTAAAGCTCGCTTGGAGTTTGCAAAAAAGCACCTGAAGGACTATCAGACTGTGAGGAACAAGATTTTCTGGTCTTATGAAACCAAGATTGAACTGTTTGGCCTCAATTGTAAACATTATGTCTGCAGGTAACCAAGCACCACTCATCACCTGCTCAGTACCATCCCAACAGTGGACCATAGCGGTATCAGCATCATGTCGTGGAGGTGTTTTTCAGCGGCAGAGACTGGAAGACAAAGTACAGAGATATCCTCAATGAAAACCTGTTCCACAGTGCTCAAGTCCTCAGACTGGGCCGAAGGTTCACTTTTCAACATGTCAAGGATCCTAAGCACACAGCCAAGACAACACATGGCTCAGCCAGAGCCCAGACGTGAACCCTATTGAACATCTCTGGAGAGACCTGAAAATGGCTGCCCACCAACGGTCCCCCATCCAACCTGACTGAGCTTGATAGGATTTGCAAAAATGAATGGCAGAAATTCCCCCAATCCAGGTGTGCAAAGCTTGTCGCGTCATACCCAAAAATATTCCCCTTCGCTCCTCACCCAGCAACTACACATAAGGTAATGCAAGGAGATTAAGGGCAGAGGAGCTAGGCTAGCACACAGAGAGTAGTTAGACACTCCCGGAAGAGGAAAGAGCTACGATGTGCAAGGGAAGGAAGGGGATGTGCTAGGGAACTGACTCTTCCGACATTCAGCAGACACATTGCAAGTTAATAAAAATGGTTTATGAAAAGAATAAGTTCTGCAAATATGCATTTAAAATACTTGAATATTCTATGCTTTCACCAGCCATTTTTAAGTTGGTGACTTGATCTCTGTAAAGTAAACCTGTCATAAGACTCGTTGGCCTGTTTCTGAAATTTCTCTTTGCCTGTCCCTTTTGTTGTATACCCACTGAAAAAAAATATATTACATTATATCACTGCAGCTGTCATAAGTTCAGAAATACAATTCCATGTATCTTGATTGAGATTTATAAATCCATTTCAATGATATTTGTCAATCTTCTTGTAGACAGGACTCTTTAAACACATGTGCTTTGTAACCTTACTTTCCAGTGTATATGCATGAGACTACAAAGAGAGGACAGTGCATGAACCATAAACACATTTGCCTGTATTTTCCTGGCCTTACATTTAGTACAGAAGGATAAATGAGTCATTTAGAAAGTGGGCTTTGTATTCTGAGTCAGCTTCAAATAAAAGTAACAGAGTATTAAAAGAGCACTATCTGAAAAATACTTTACTCTGTTAATGTAAAAAAGTACGGTATTTTGTATATAAATTCTTTTTTCCTTTTACACATGCTTGTTAATACTTTTCTCCATGTTTACATGCAGACCAAAAGTGACAGTGGCAGTTACAGTGGTCACCTTTATATGGAATATCTATCAGTTTTGTAAATTTTTCTTTATTAACCACCTGCCGACCGCAGATAGCCGAATGATGGCTACACTGTGGCCAGACAGTTATGGGAGGGCGTCATATGACGTCCTCCCAGAACGCGCTGTCCTGCGCACCCCCTGGGGCGCGCACCTGGCACCTACGGACACAGCTGATCACGTGATGTGGTAAAATTCCAAACACAGCAGCCTTTTACCTCGTGATCAGCCGTGTCCAATGACACGCTGATCACCGGGAAATGCAATTGCCGGTTCTCAGCTGCACTTTCCTCACGCTGACAGAGCGTGAGGAAAGTACTGCCGAGAACCGGCAGTTGTCAGAGCAGGGATCGGCACCGATCATCAGGGCACTGATGATCAGTGCCCTGATGATCGGTGCCCAGCAGTGCCAGCCAACAGTTCCGCCCACCTGTGCCCAGCAGTGCACCCACCTGTGCCCAGCAGTGCACCCACCTGTGCCTAGCATTGCGCCTATCTGTGCCCAGTAGTGCACCCCCCTGTGCCACCCAGCAGTGCCACACATCTGTGCTCAGAAGTGCCACCTACCTGTGACAAGCAGCGCCACCCACATGTGCCCACCAGTGCCACCCACCTGTGCCCACCAATGCCACCCACCAGTGCCCATCAGTGCAGCCCAGCAGTGCTGCCAGTCAGTGCCCAGTGGTTGTGCCAGTCAGTGCTCAGCAGTTGTTCCAGTCAATGCCTAGCAGTGCCGCCAGTCAGTGCCCAGCAGTGATGCCAATCAGTGCCACCTATCAGTGCTGTCTATCAGTGCCACCTATCAGTGCCATCTATCAGTGCCATCTCATTAGTGCTGCCTATCAGTGCCGTCTATCAGTGCCACCTCATTAGTGCTGCCTATCAGTGCTGCCTATCAGTTCCCATCAGTGCTGCCTATCAGTGCCGCCTATTAGTGCCCATCAGTGCTGCCTCATCAATGCACATCAGTGAAGGAGAAAAATTACCTGTTTGAAAAATTTTATAATAGAAACAAAGAAACTTTTTTTTTTCTTCAAATTTTTTTGCACTTTTTTGTTTATAGCGCAAAAAGTAAAGTGCCCAGCAGCGATTAAATACCTCCAAAAGAAAGCTCTATTTGTGAGAAAAAAATGATAAAAATTTCATATGGGTACAATCTTGCATGACCGCACAATTGTCATTCACAGTGCGACAGCTCTGAAAGCTGGAAATTGGCCTGGTAAAGAAGGGGGTATAAGTGCCCAGTAGGCAAGTGGTTAATTATGGCTAGGACTAAAAATATAAATTAAAAAAAAATTGGCAGGTAAAAATTTAATATTGCATAATAGTATTTTGTTTTCTACTTTTTAGGCCAGCATGTGCAGCTTTAAGCTCCTTTTCACATTCTCCAGACTTTATCGCTGCTCCTTGATATAAAAAGTCTGCTGAGTTCAATAGCTCACGCTGAAATTCACACATACAAGTGAAAAGGCATCCCTAGGTTTGAAACCTAGCTCTCTCCTAGGTTTCAAAGAGACAAAGCCAGCCAAAAAGACTGTTCCTTTTTTCTGTACTGTCCCTTTAGATAACACAATGTGCTTTGGGAATCCTTTATCATGTATTAAATATTTATTTATATAACTAATATTATGCATACAGTAAGTACAGTGGTAAAACCGATATAAGCGTACAAACTTTGTAAAGGAAAATAAATAGATAAATAAATAAATAAATAACATTGACACAAAATTATTATGTTTTCCTTCACATTTTTGAAATCTTAAACAAACAAAACAAAAAAAAGAAAAAAATATATATATAATTATTATTATACAGGATTTATATAGCGCCAACAGTTTGTGCAGCGCTTTACAATATAAGGGAGACCGTACAATTACAATACATTTCAGTACAGAAGGAATAGGAGGGCTCTGCTCGCGGAGCTTACAATCTAAAGGAAGGGGGAGGTGATACAAAAGGTGATAGCTGCGGGGGATGATCTGGTGGAGGTGATTCAAGTACAGTTCTTTGGTGAAGGTGGGGTAGGCTTCCCTGAAGAAGTGAGTTTTCAAAGATCGCCTAAAGGCAGACAGGGTGGGGGCTGACTGGACATGCTGTGGTAGGGAGTT